TGCCTGGCTGCCATTTTTCGAGCAACTGACCGGCTGAACAAGTCACAGAGCTTCTGCTTGCACGCCTCCCAGCTCGCCAGGTCTTCCTCGTGCGTCTCGTACCAGGCGCGTGCAGTACCTCGCAGGTAAAAGATGATGTTGGCCAGCATAAGCGTCTGATCCCACCTGTATTGCTTGCTGACGCGCTCGTATAAGGTTAGCCACTCGTCAACGTCAGTTGTGTCGGTGCCGTTAAATGTAGCTGGATTGTGAAGATGGGAAGAGATCACAAGGGACGGAGCAGGCGTAGACTGAACGCACGGCACGCTGCCTTCAGGCATTGCCACTGGACGAAGCTGACGTCCACTACGGAGATCCAGAGTCGCAATGTTACCTAGCACTTCCACCAAAAATATGTAACGGGGAGTATTTAATAGGTGAATGCCGGGTGGGCTAACACTGCACACAGTGTGCAAGGATGCAGGACAAGAGGGAAACTCAGACACAGCCCCACAACAACATCGTCGTCTTCATTCCGTCTGCGTCGTTTCCGCACCCATGCCTGTGGTACCTTTCTATACCCGTGACGACATTGTGCGCCTTTTTACCACAATAATGTCTGGAAGATAATAAGGGAGAGACGTTGGGGCTGAATTTCACTTGTGAACTACCGCATAATCATTGCTAGCAGGTTTTGAACCTCTGCTTTTCAAACGTCACCATGTTGACTGTTGTTTATCCTTGCGTTCCAAAAAAGCACTGCTTAGTTACTTTTACGGTCATTATAGTATTATAAAGGATGCCATTGATATGAACTTTTTACAGGCCGCCCTCAAAAAGTCGTGCTTACACAAATGTAAATGTAGCTTTCTGACGATGGTTGATCGACTCAGAAAGAGCTTTCCCTGTGCATGGGCTTGTGTCAGCGTCTGAAATACTGATCAAAAAGTGTAGACCCCACCCGGTTGAAACTGCTGTACTAGGCAATAAGTCCGAGAAATACGCTAGCATGCCTTATGTACACCGGTCGTCACATCGGTTTAAGGATATAGATAAAAGTTTGGACTTCGACGTTTCCTTTTTGTTGTAACCATACAAGTATGAATTGTGCTGCGATATAAAGGAGGGCTTGAGGAACCGTGGATGCAGGTTGCATGGTAAAACATCGCGATCCCGCCGTTCCCAGTGCCATTTGTGGGTTCTGGGTTTGAAACACGGGGCGCCATAGGCAACATGTGGTTCGCAAATCCCATAGCGTGTGGCCAACAGACCACTTATGATAGCCTTCAACACACATTTTAGGGGCGAAGCTCCTTATGGCGTGGCTTGGGCGTCCCTCGTATGTAACCACCAGTGGCACATACCCGAAATAGGTATAACACTTGACCTCCAAGGTGGTGCCAGTGAGAGATTTCTTCTGTGCGTTGTTTAACAATAAAAAATAGTGCTCAATGTACATGCCAATGGCTGCTAATGGGGAATGAGAGACATGAGCATTCGGCTTTTAGTCAACGCGCACGCTGCGATCCCCATTAGCAGCCATTGGCATGTACATTGAGCACTATCGGACAAGAAAGGGATGCTACATTATACTCGCTGGGTGTAACCTCCTTAGCTTTAGAAAGGTTTAGCGAGCGTTGAGCCGCAGTGCCATGAATACAATGAACTTGTATGTACCATGAATGAACTCGAGGTGGTTAAAAATGGGAAGTAGATACGAAGCGCAAGCCGTAAGAAAGTAAAAGCCAAATTCTCCTGTCTCTCATTTCTCATTAGCAGCCATTGGCATGTAAATTGAGCCCTATCTGACAGGGAAAGGTTGCTACGTTATACTCGCTGGGCGTAACCTCCTTGGTTTTCGAAAGGTTTAGCGAGCGTTTGGTCGCAGTGCCATGAATACAGTGAACTAGAATATACCATGAACTCGATGTGGTTAAAGGTGGGAAGTGGACCCAAAGCGCAGGCCGTAAGAAAGTGTGCGTGTGCCACCTCTCGTTTAGTCCTTGGAATGTCCGCTGGATGGCGGTGCTTCTATATGGAGAATATATGATAAGAAGATGCGAGATGGTGGGACTTGGAGTGTTGAATAGATGAACGAACGGACACACAAACAGATGCATGGATGGACGCATGAACGGACGCAGGGGCGGATGCATGAAAGAACGCAGGGACGGGCGCACAAACAGACGCATGGACGGTCACACAGACGGACGCATGGACGGACGAATGCTTCGCCCCACTCTCTATCATTCACTCCGTGGATATGCTGCCATTTTTTATGACTTTGTGACTGTTTGCGACATTGCTATAGATGGTGTTCCCACGATTTTCTCGCCTATCGTGGTTAAGAAGACTTTTTGCAGGTAGGATATGCAGTCGGTAGTGATCTTAAGCGTGTTTTTTTTTGTGCGTGAATGCATGAGGCATTTTGTGCATGCAGTCAACTTTTGTTGAAACATAATCGCAGAACAAACAGCTTATACTTTCAAATCGGAGTCGAGGTTTTATTCATTGAGGAGATCAGCGAACAAATGTGTCTGGAATCCTGATGCCTAATCCCCTACAGAGATGGCCCATATATAGTACTCCTACTTCACCTGTTCTTCCACTACAAACTTTTTATTGCGATAGCAATTAGATGGACACTCTAGGCTGGATTTTGCCACCAGCGTTGGTGTCGACATCGGCGTGGGGGACGATGTCGACACTGACCCCCCGAGGAGCACATCCTTCAACATTCAAACGGCAAGCTATCTATATCTACCACTTACCGCTGCTGACGGGCATCTGGGGGGGGGGGGCTACCATGTTTTCAGCATTACGAGCAAGATGGCGCATCGAGCGCACGTAGCAACATTGTCACGACGCGGCAGCACACACACTCATCTCCCACGCCCACGTTGCCCCGCGAAGAACAAGGGGTCAACGCTCACTCACGCTCCCTTACCTCGTGGCGTGGACGATCGTACATCTTCGCTGGCCTTTACCCGAACGATTCTGTTTTAGTTACCGGGCGCACAAAGGCCACTGCAATCGTTGCATCGTCTCCGTTTGCCGAAAAAGTCAGACACAGCGAAGTAACAGCTGAAACGCTTATTCGCGTTCATATCTATGTGACAGTACGTTTCGTGCGCCATTTGTGCGTGAGAAACGCGGGGCACGTTTCGATGTACTGGCCATTCTGTGCGCAACCTTACAATTTGTTGCTATCGCGTTCATTGCAGCATTTTTGCGGCAAAGCTGTGGCTTTTTTTACTGCTCTGGCCCATCGTGAAACTAAAGTTTGATACTACGGCCCGGTGTCTGATGTTAGTTTGAGAGCCGTGGTCTATAGGATCCGCCTCATCGGTGGAAAGAATTATATAGTTCAATCCGGCAAATGCATCGAAAGGTTACGCCAGCGCAATAATTCTTTAAAGAGCACGCCGACACCACATTTTTCGGCCCATAGCAGATCATGCGGATGCAAACTGTTTTCTAGTAACACTTATTATGCTGAAACAAAGATAAAAGGGCGTGTGAGCTTACTGAACCAATCATTATAAAAAAGGATATTGTTATATACCTGTGCAGCCTTTTTGCCTACTAGATTTCGAGGCATGCAATCTGGACTATTTCTTTGGAGTCACATTATTTTTATGAGCACGGATGTTACGGTTTCTCGCTGTGTTCATTTTCCTTTTATTAAACTTCAGGTGTTAGACAGCGCTTCTATGATGTCCTTCTATTCTTGAGTTCCATCCTGTTTCCGCCGATTTTTCGAATCATGCGTGAAGGAAGTAAGGACCACGGAAATATATAAGATGCCGCTGGCAGGTACCAAAATGTTACCTGATTTTCTTACGCTTCACTCTGTTCACATTTACAACACTTTTATTACAATGCACTTAAACGGTACAGTTAAAGTCGCCTACACCTTTCTTGGCTTCCTCACCTGCTTGTCCGCATCAAAGTTGTGTCAAACAGGATGTCTAGAAAGTTACCTTATTCATTCATAGCGAGGACCTCGTTCTGGCACAGTTGAGTCCTTCAGGCCGTAGCCAGCTCTATTTTTATTTACCCCTAACACCAATCCCACCCGGAATGAATGTCAGGCAGCCCGGCACGACTACAAGGGTCTGTCGGTCCAACGAGCCATAGTCCGGCGTGCCAGGACAGCGGTCATGACCAATGGGGTCCCAGATTACTTTTTACTGTAAGGAAGCTGACCCACTAGGGGCTAGTTTTTCTTGCAACCTCCCTGTTTTATTAAATGTTTACCACCACCACCACCAAGCAGTATTCAAGGGCTCATTCATCTTTAAAACTACGCTTTGTTGACATGAACGTGGGTAAAAAATAATGCAGTATATGGCGGAACTAGCGCAAAGTACCAACCCATTTATTGAATGTGACAAACAAGAAATAGAGGCCCGTGAAACGTAGCACCGTGAGAAAATAAATAAATAAAACGTTTTTAATTTGTCGCATTCAATAAAGCACTTTCAAAGATGAATCCACACGAACTATCCCACATATAGATCATATAGCTCTTCTCGAGGGCTTATTGATCAGCTGTCTGCTCGTTAAAGCTTCACGTGCTGCGTAACATCATCTATGAAAAGAAAAGAATGTTCCCCCCACTGCCACGGCTAAGAGCGGCTGACACTTCCAAGGTTTGCATGTACATTAATACCCGACAACTGGACGGTGGGATGACTGCCTCTGTATTACTCAATTGCAAGATAGGACGTGTAATCCGAATGTCAAAGGCTTGGCCCCGGCCAAGGCAAGGTGCCTTTTGACCAATTTAGTTTCTTCACGTCTACATCATAATTATTACCATACAATTAACGTCCACTATACTATAATTGTCTCAATTTTTTGTGAATTTTCATCAAGGTTTTGTTACTACGAGCATTTTGTTGTATTATAAATCCCATTTCATCTGCATATGTGAATGTTTCTTACTTGAAATCGAAGCTGACGCATTTTGTTGTAATATAAATCCCGTTTTATCTGCATATGTGAATACTTCTTACTTGAAATCGAAGCTGACGCCGCCTGCCGTCATTGATCGGGCTGCAATCTCCTTCTTGAACAAAGTCCAGCTAGCGTTCACCTCGACGCCCACCAGCTCAGTCTTGTTGAACACGATGACGTGCGTGTAGAAGAGGTAGTCGCAGAGGCCATCGGGCGGGTACATTGCGTTTATCACCGCGAATGCACCTAGAGTGCAGACCAAGTCGTCGGGCACAGCTGCGTTAAATGGCGATCATTTTTTAAAAGTTAACAGATCTATATGTATCATGCCTTAAACAAAAGGCGTGCTGATGACGGGGTCACCAGATAGCCTCCACAACTCAGTAACCATGTTTACAGTTTGTTCCGTGTAACACTGTGCCCTCAGGCTTATATCCCTATTGCTATGAAAACAGTTCATCATCATAATCATCAGCCTGGCTACCCCCACTGCAGGACCCACGCCTCTCCCATGTTCCGTCACTCAACTCGGTCCTGTGCTTGCTGCTGCCACTTTATACCTTGAAACTTTCTAATCTCATCAGTCCACCTAACTTTCTGTCTCCCCCTTCACCCGCTTGCCTTCTCTTAGAATCCAGTCTGTGATGCTTAATAACAAGCGATTATCTTGCCTTCGTGCTACGTGCCCAGCCCATGGCCATTTCTTCTTCGTGATTTCGACCATGATGTCCTTAACATCCGTTTGCTTCCTGATGCACTGTGCTCTCTGCTTGTCACTTAGAGTTACACCTATCACTGTCCTTTCCATTGCTCGTTGTGTCGTCCTCAACGTAGGTTGAACAGTCTTTGTGGTCCTCCTGGTTTCTGCTTCGTAGGCAACTACCGGTAAGATCCAGCTGTTATATACTTTCCTTTCGTGAGTTAGTGGTATATTACCATTCATGATTCGAGAATGGTTGCCAAATGTGATCCACCTCATCCTTATTCTTCTAGTTATTTAAGTCTCAAGGTTCAACTCCGCGGTTACTACGTGTCCTAAGTAGATGTATTTCTTCACAACTTCCAGCATATCTCCACCTATCGTAAAGTGCTGTTTTCTGCCGAAACTGTTGCACATTACTTTAGTTTTGTTCAGTATAGCCTTAGGACCTACCTTTCTGCTGTTATTGTGTAAATTCAGTAAACATGAATGGCAATTCGTCCCCTGAACTACTCAGCAGTACAATGTCATCGACCATAATGTAAGAAATAGCCATAATTCAGATAAGATTCCACCAGTAATGACAGAAAAAGTCAAGAAAACTCGTTGAACCAATTCGATGGTAGCGGCAACGTCTGGGAAGCTAGAGGCAGATTCTGCCACCCGCTCCCCGGCCATAATTTACCCACTGCCGCTGTTCCACCGAAGACAACTGTGGAAGACTGCTGCGCCAACAGGAATATATCTGACGCACCATACTAGCACTCATACCACCGTCAGGTTCTGATCTCCCTGGTGAGCTTACCCTCTTGGAGGAGATAGTGCTTCGGAGACTTTGAGTTGGGGGTTGCTTTGACACTGGCAGTTACCGCCCACTGGCCGCAACAGTACCGCGCAGCTTATGGAACCACCTGCGCTTTTCGTGACGCTCCCATAACTGCCGTGGACGTGACATACTAGCTCTGGTCGTGCCCGGGCTTACAGCAAGTACGCCTTCATCATCTTAGAACAACCGGTAACCGTCCCAGTCGCCCCCCGGAATAACAAGGGTGAATAACAGGAACTTGCTACCGATCAATGTTAAACTTCATGCATAAGTGTAACTTTTATGTGTGATGAACCTGTGTCATGTTTATGTGTACTTGTTATGTGAAAAGACAGTCTTTCGAATTAAAATAAAAGGTCAAGAAAGCATTGAGGGGAATGCAAAGAGGCAAAGCTGCTGGTGACGATTAGGTAACATCACATCTGCTGAAAGACGGAGGACAAATTGTGGTAGAAAAACAGGCGACACTGTTTGTGCATCGCCTCCTGACGGGGAGGGTACAAGAATCTTGGAAGAATGCTAAGATCACCTTAGTCCATAAGAAAGGGGATGACATGGGCTTGGAGAATTACAGGCCGATGAGCTTGCTCTCCGTTGTATAAAGGCTATTTTTAAAGGTAATTGTTAACAATATTATGAAAACATTTAAATTAAATCAATCAAAGGATCAAGCGGAGTTTCGTACAGGCCACTCAGCAATGGACCACATTCCTGCTATGTATCAGGTAACAGAGAAATGTTGAGAGTACCCAACCAGTGTACATATATATACTTCATGGATTATGAGAAGGCATTCGATTCTGTAGATAAATCGGCAGTCATGCAGACACTGCGCAATCAGGGCATCGACGAACCATATATATATAAACATCCTGGAAGAAATCCACAGTGAATCAACTGCCATCATAGTGCTCCATAAAGAAAGCGACGGAATACCAATAAAAATGTTGTAAGACAAGGCGACACCATATCCACAATGGTATTTACCACGTGCTTACAGGAGGCTTTCAGAGGCCTAGAATTAGAAGAGTTAGTGATACGAATTAACGATACACTTAAAACAGTTCAAATAACGTCCGCTATATGTTCTTTGGCTCCGTTATTGGTTGATTTGATTAGGTTGTATTAACAAGGAAACGAGTTCTCAAGGTTCCCTTCATTCGTTGAGCTAGGCAATCCATCAGCGAATTGCAGGATACGAAGGTATGGACTGTTAACCCCAGTTGGCTGAAATGCAGGCTTTCAATCTCAATTTGATGCGTCCGCATGTACAACCATGCGTTACGTTGACGGCTTGAAAAATGCGAGACCACTTATTGAAACGTTGTCTGCAGCAACAACCTCTGCGCCAAAATTTACCTTTTAGCGAGGTTTCTGCCCACCTTGTTGCTTCAGACACAGCCGGCTTCTCGTAATGTAGTTTAGCGCATTCTCCCGAATAGGCCAGAATATGTCTCTAAAAACTGATGTTCATTCACATCTTCGACACAGTGCTACCCTACAACCTTCTTTTCTACCCGGCATGAAAACATGAAAGCAGATGAGCTGTAGATGCTACTCACCACGTTGTTTGCGCGTCATCGGAATGACCGTGATGGGGACGGGACCCATTGTTGGTGGAGAAGGTGGCCGAGGGCCCTTAGTAACTTTCCTATGCACTTCACCACCGGTTGTCGTTGATGATGCGCCGCCGCTTTTGTCTGGATCAAGTTCTCCCGCAGGACCAGTACTTGGTGGAACTGGTGGAACCTCATCGCCACCACCACTTCTGCTACCACCACTGCTGCCACCACCACTGCTGCCACCACCACTGCTGCCACCACCACTGCTGCCACCACCACCGCCACCGCCGCCACCACCACCACCACCACCACCACCACCACCACCTCCACCACCACCACCCCCTCCACCACCTCCTCCCTGGAAGACATCGCTGTCTTCTTGCTCCTCCACTGCGTCCGGAAAATGAGATATGTCGGTAAGTGAGTGAACCAAAATACAGCCCTCGTTGATGACTAATGCTGAGCAGCATTTAGCGCAAATGTGGTAGGGGATATAGAACAACACACAAAGCGCTGGCCATTACGCTACAGTGGTGTAGCAGTTACGGCGCTCGGCTGCTGGCAAGGTGGTGGGTTCAAGACTAACCGCGGCAGTCGTATTTCGGTGGAGGCGAGATGGTAGACGCCCGGGCACCGTCCGATATCAGTGTGCGTTAAGGGACACCACATTGTCGAAATGTGGTGTTCTTATCGCACCATATTGTAGTTTCAGGACGTTCAACTCCATATTTCATTATCAACAGCACAAGACAACGGCTAACTCACCACTATGTGTACTATTAAAGAAAAAAAGAAACACTTTGATTCATAAATTTCCTGTATAATTGGTATGTCAAAGTCCATTGTCCGTCGGGACACCAAAATACATATTGCCTGCATGCAGAAGTGAAACTAAAATAGCGAGTCTATCAATATATTTTTTTCCTTCGACTTAGGATAGGCCTTCCCGTCTCTACGTGGGAGCGGGTTGTGATTCTCCCCGCATAAAAGGAGGGTGGAGTCATTCAAGACCTCAATAAACTTTCGGGGCGAAGCTCCTTATGGTCGAGACTTGGCCGTTTGCATTGGTGATAAGCGCCTTATAGCCACTGCTGACGATGACCATAACGCACATGACGATTAAGAACAAAAGCGTTCCAGACAACATATTCTATTTCTTCCATCCCAGAAGAGCACATGCAAGGTACACACTTTACCCCATGACGATGACGATGATGCTGATGACTATGATCACGGACAATGACTGGCTTGTGCAGTATATGGTGTCTCGATACGCTTTACTATGCATTTGGTATCACTGTAAACAACCAAAAACCACCAGGCGAACGTTCCCACACCTCCGCTCTTCCAACTTCAGGCTAGATCCAATACCAATAAGCAGTAATAATGAAGGCAAAGCGAAACTCACAATAACTCAACACAACATACCCGTCATGACCAATAAACACTGTTTACGACTGTACACTGCTTGGCACTCATATACATGCATGAGGGGTCAATGTACCGGGCGATTTACGGCAACACCGAACGAGCCCACTGCTTTGCCCACTCATCGTCACTGACTTCGTCGATGTGGCGCGATTTTAGGAGCCTGCTCCTTTTGCTCACGGCTTGTCCTACGGCAGTCGCCTGAGTACACCAGTGTGGCCAGTGGGCAGTATGGGCACTTCTACGGTCGTGCTGGAGGTCACGAATCGCCTCTCCGGTGATTTCAACAAAACTCACTAGATGGCACACCACCACCCAAGGGGTCGGTTTTCGATAGCCACCCACTCGCCTCCTCGAAGTGGCATTGAAAAAAAAAGGGAAGTCAAGAGAACAGTGTGGTGTCGGAACTGTATCTCTCTCAGGAGGCCACCTCAACAAAGCGACACTGTGGATGGGTAGTGGGGAGATAAAGAAACGTGAAAAAGTGAAAAATTTGGCAGATCCTACGTAACTTGAGAATCAACATTTTGGGAAGCATGCGGAGGGAATGTGACTGTGTTATTTCTTCATTGAGCGACACGTCATGAAATTACGCTAAATATATGTATAATTGCCGCACGCACAGATATACGTTGACGAAGTGCAGATGTTTCAATAACCAGCTGTTTGCACTTCACTTGCCTAACGATGCCAACAGGAACATGAGTATTAGCAACACCAGAAGCAATAAGCTGGAATGAAGCACTGGTGCTCGAGAGGATGGTAGCCCTGGGTACTGCTACATAAATCAACTTCAGCGCATACCACCTAACCACCATCGATGGGAACCCGACATGACGGCTGTATCATAGGAGTACATATGTAAGCTTTCTAAAATTAAAAGGCCAGCAGTGCATTCACATTGCGAACTTACTTACAGCGCAACACCAGAAAAAATACAAGACAGGGAAGGAGCAGCGCCGTCTTTTCTTTCTCTTTTGCTCCTTCCCTGTCCTGTATTTTTTCTGGTGTTGCGCTGTAAGTAGTTCACGATGGATCCTAACCAACTGGCCTAACTTACCGCCTTACTACAGTGCATTCAGAATTGACGTTTAACGAACGCTACGGTCTTTTTGAAAAGAAGTTCCGGGCCTGGCGTGTGTCTGGTGGAATGCTTTATTGGGACCCAGAATGATTGAGTTTGATTCCTGCTGAGACACCGATATTAATTCTTTGCAATCGTCTCTTTTTTACGTTGCCCATATGTGTTCTCTTTTTTCCTAGGTAGATACTAAGTGTATCACCTGTGGCACATACCCGCATACCTGTGGCGCATACTCACTCTCGGGTATGTGCCACTGTCTGGCGGGAAATGCTGGACGGATGATGTACGTGACGCGATTGTGGCATTTATGTGTTGACCAGAGTGTCAAATTCACCATAACATCTTACCATCCCATACTAATTTTGGTTCACTTCAAGTTGAGGAGGTGACTCAGAGAGCACCCAGACGTGAGCGGCTAGATAGATAGATAGATAGATAGATATACAGATAGATAGATAGATAGATACGTGGATAGATGCAAAAAATCACACCATATTCATAGAGTGAATGATTATGAGGGGGGCGAAGCGTCCATCCATGCATGTGTCCGTCCGTCTGTGCATGCATCCATCCAATCGCGTTCAAGAATGCAGATGGTGACCGGTTAACACCGACAAGACACGAGCCAAGGAAGCCGAGCACAAGCATCTTCAACGCGCCTGCCGTTCTTCTTCGTCTATGCCCCACCAACAATGCGCCACGTACGATGGCTATCCTGGAGACTGATAAGCACTCCCCTTCCACGTACCCAGGCACAGTCCGCGCAGCAGCCAATCGAAGAGTAGTGGGTGGTACAGTGCCATCTAAAATATCCTCACTCAACTGCAGTTTTTGTGTACTTCTATGAGGCAGCGCCGTCTATTATACTATTCGGGAGATACTGCCTCTTCTCTCGGTTACGCGTGACGCATGACAAGGGTACACTAAGATTACAGTACGCAAAGAAATGCTCCGCATTTAAAAGGAGGGCGTCAGTTATGTTTGGGTCTGGCCACGCGCGAACGCTCGCCGCCTCCGAGCCGGGAGGATAAAAACAAAACAAAATAAAACATTGGGCAAGCCGGCAGGGCGAGGAGCCTCACTTCTTAGGCCCTGCAGCACGTGAACTGTTCTTACGATGAGTGTTACGCACGGGTACCAATACATTGCCAAGCCCCGACACCAGCCGGCTCTCAAGACCGTTGTAGAACGCCTGTAAGGTCCACGTCTGCAATTTATGAGCGTCAGGCATTTGACTCACGGCAGCGGCCAGTATGGCATGAAAAGGAAGGTGATTATTGTGCCGATCGACGTAGCCAACACGGTGCAGTACCAGCCACAGAACGTGCTCAACAACGCTGCCCTCGAAGTACACATCATGCGCCGGCTCATTAAGTAGCCTCCTTAAAGAAATGGTCTCGCCAAGAAACGTATCGTGCACCTCCGAGCAAGCTCCTCGAAAATCATTCACTTTGTGGACATGGCGGGGATTTTTTTTTCATCCATCTATCTGGTGCAAGACCGCAGAAGGGTCCCTAACACTAACACTTCATTTCGCTTTGATATATTACGCATCTATAGGTTTACCATTATGGAGTAACTAGCCAAGAAAAAAGTAATTTCTTCCGCCACCAGGAGTTGTTACAAAATAATGATTTTCAAACAGTGAATTCTTCCTTGATAACTAAGCACAATTTGTGTGGTCCCAGTTAGAGAGCAATTTGGTTTTCAACTATCCCCTGTTGAAGACATTCAGGGAACAGCTGGAAAGTAGAACCTAGAATGAACTGGTTCAATGCGGCTAGCAGATTTGTCCAGTTGGAAATCAGAATTGCCAGTTCGGGATCATTTGTATACCAGATGTCACCAGTTCAGTTGTTCTCAGTTGCATCCCTAGCTACACACGTTTACCTGGGTTATAAGGGTGCCAGATTTTCTCCCCGTACTTGGATTGACCAGTCCCAGGATAATTATCAGTACAGGAGAACGCGGTGGTTGAGTGGTTACGGATGCTGAGCTGATACTTTCAAAGGACGGATTTTCGATCCTGACCGGGACGGTTGCATTGTAAGGGAGCTGAAGATCTATGGGCTTGTCGAATTGCACAATTCGGTGCACGTTAAAAAATCCTAGGAGTTCAAAGTGGTGTTACAACAGTCTTTGTAAACTACTGCTGCCCTGATTTTCTATTTTGATATGCATTCACTCTGGCACGTTGAAAACTGCTGTACAATAAAAAAAAAGTAGATAAGGAAAACTTTTTGTCAGCGCATGTCCTATTTTGAGGGGTCGGGAACCGAAAGACAATACTCCTTTGTTCCTAAACGTGTCATCGTAGTGTTCTTGAGTAATAATAAATAAATAAAGAACGTCTGCTCACCGTCACCGCCAAGGACGAGGAAGGAGATCACAACAGCGATGCCGACGACTATGATGATCGCAATTAGGATGGTTACAATGGAGGTCGAGGACTGGTCACTGCGCACAGAAAGTGTGCGACAAGAATAACTAAGTCATTACTGAAGGCATTAGGGGTACGAAAAACAGATGAAGCGATCACACACAGACAAGCGCAGTGTGTGACAATGTGGTATGTGCATTCACACATACTTTTAATACATTTTTTTCCATGTAGCCGGCCCCCGTTACAGGTGTAGCCACGGTCTTGCTCTAGCCTCACCGGAATGTCCGGAAGCGTTCTGCACTATTTTATAATCTTCCGGCAGGATTTCCCACACTTCACATGAACATTACAGTTAACTCTGGAACTGGCGCACGCGCCCTCCAATGATAACGCTTGAATCTTTGATGACACGTGAATAAATTTTTATGTGCCTGACACCCCGTTAATGTACATTCACATTTCGTGTAAACATGTCAAAGAATCAGAAATTATATTAACATCAAAGTGTGTTATGCCGGGGTGCCCCAAGACGTTAGTGACGAATTTCCGTCACGGAAATGACGTCGAAAAATGCACATCGTTGGACGCAAAAAAAAAAAAAAACTCCTTCGATGGGGGTCAAATCGACACCTTACCGGTGCGCGGCAAGAGATGCCGCGTACACTGCATACCCTCTGCGCCACGATCACGCACTGCTGCTGTTTCACAAATGCGTCTTTCATTGTTACAACTTCCCACTTACAGTGCTCTTCATCGGCGGGGTGATGTCAAAATCTGATATCAGTAAAGTGAATTATTGCATTATGATCATGACCTTCTCAATGAAATCCTTAATCGAAGTCGGAGCCTCGCTAGAAGCATAGCTCTGGGAGGCGTGCCTCATACGCCAGGCTTTATTACCGGCTCCCCCACTTATACTCGCCATGAGAAAAATCTAGCCCGAGTAGACAGTAGGCCCGACTCGCGATGCGTTTCCTTCGAGCCTGGCCGTAGACTTACACGCTGCGATATGGAAACCTTAGCCCCAATTCTGTGCCCAGTCAGCAACGCTCTTCTAGCTGTCGCACCATTCCCTCCGATAACGCTCTAACCATGAACTACTACAGCAACTACAAAAGTTTGTTCAATCATTGATCGTGTACTTTAGTCATCGGGATGGAGATGCGCCACCAAGCGACAACGTGTGTGCATCAGCGTTTAACGGTGCTTTAGCTCTTAAACACCAGTAGACATTGCGCAAGTTCACTTCTATTGTAGCACAGGAACTTTCAACTACTTCTGCTAGTAGACCTTTTACTTTCATGTTATGTCGATCCCCAAGAAAGAGGGAGTGACCATGCTTTTTTTTTGTCCCTTGTAAAGACAAGTGTGATAAACTTGCCGTATGAAAGATTTTTCTATCAGATGATTGCGAGATAAAATTTTTTTCACCGAAAGAAGTCTCACCCCTCCTGAATTGCTGATACGGCATTGTTTTGTCCTTCGCTACACATCGTCATTGGCAATAATTGTCACACGTTTCTTCTCAAAGTGTTTATTAGGTAACATTGAATATTTAACCGTACGATTCGCATGACTTTCCCTATAACGTCCGCTGAAAATTACACCTTATTTTTTAGGAGAATGGTGTTTTTATATAAAAGAAAAACCTGTCATTCACACCCGCGGTTGTCTGTGTAACCGATGGTCGCGCGTCACAAGTTTCCTATTCCGTTGCTATAAGTCATATGTCAGTAACTGTTCTTACTTTCTAAGCATTTACTTACTCTTGAGCAGCCACTGCGAAAAACGAAGAAAGAAAAGCGGCTTTGGCGGATCCAACACACAATCTTTTGCTATATAAACAGACCAGTTGCTACCTAATAGGGTCTTGATACCAATTTTCGAAGTATTCTTTAACCAGCGATACAATTCTCCTGAAAAGACGACTCTTTGAAAGCGTGATGCTCGGGAATCGGTGATAATATATTTTATGTTCCTCTTGCCGTAAACTTTCACGCGGCGCTCCTGTTGATATTACAATTGCGTGACGTCAGAAAACAGTGCCAATTCTGGCCAGTACGGTTTTAGCGGCAGCAACCAACACGTGCTAAGTGGCCGCCTGTGCGTCACCAATGGAGTCGCAGAGCGGACTGGCCGTGTAGACGTCAGAACATCTTGCGCGAGCACGTAACTAGAAGTTCATACCATGTCGTGACGTTGGGGTAAAGTAAAACCAAAACTACTTTTTTTTCAAGATGACGCAGTATTTCATGTCTCAAGATGCACTCGCGCTTACAACCACATTTTGCGCGCTCTCGTGTACTTGACCTTATCATTTGGCACAATGACAAATTGACACAAGCCCCTTCGAATCTTGCTACGCAGACAGCCTCAACCGCGGTTAACGTTACCGCCGTTTTGTGCAACCACGGTTTCATTATGTTACATGGTACACGAAACCGTAGCTATGCCGCTGCAAGACACCGAGATTGGCAACTTTGGTTTGGTGGTTAACCGAGGAATTCGCGGTGACCTTGGAGGTGACGTCAGCCGCCTAAAGCGTGAGACAGACGTGCGATTTTCTCTGCGATTCGGCGTGCGGTGCGACTGCTGGAGTGGTGACGTTTTGTGACGTATCATCGCGTCGCACCGCCGCATAGCCGGTGCGGTGAGCATCAAACCAGCCAGATATTTTCGTCGCAGCATCGCACCGCCACATGGCAGCAGCCAATCACAGCACGAGCATACGAGTGGCGTCACGATGCTACTGGCACCATCTCCCTGTCGCCGTTCCCATCACCCGTGGTCCAAGGCCCCAGGCGAGTCGATGGAGCGGTGCGAGCGTGGATTTGCTGACATCGCCGACTGCAGCGGCCTGACAAACGTCGAGTACATTTCCCTGGTGACGTGATATTATTCCGGATTTAATAAAGCGATGCTTGAAGTGTGCCTTTTTATGCAAGACAATGCCAGTTTTGAAAGCGCTAGCAAGATCGGAGATCGTGAGCAGCGATGCAAGGTCATTTCGCAGATAAACACAGCTACCGGCATCTCTGCGCTGGCTCGCTTCGCTTCCATCTTTTCTCTTCACATCGATGGCATCGATAAAGTAATAATGTATGGTAACGCATTACATACGATCGCAATGCTTGACAGTGTTAACAAAAGCAGGCACTCGATGACGAGCTCACGTGTGAACGGAGTAGGCGACGGCCAGCGCCCGCGATGCTAGGCCTACCTGTCGGAGTTGTGAGTAATCAGCTGTTGCCGTGGTTACGACGTGCTTGTCGTTAACGAATGCGATTATTAATAATTTTTATAGAACGAAGCGTGGCTGTGCAATGTTGTTTGTTTTCAACCTCATTACGAGGATACCAAGTCGTTCGACCCTGCATGCCGATGCGCCACATGGGGGCGGACCTGCCACTGATAGCTGCTTTGCCCTCGTGTGTCCCGAAACGTCGCATGCGGCACGCCACATCAGGCGCCGCTGCGCACCGCATCGCACGGAAAATCGCACGTCTGTCCCGCGCTTTAACCGAGGACGTGTTTGATCTGCGTAACATTAGCGAACCGGGCTTGGCGCTAATCGTGGTTAAAAGCACTTAACCATCGTTGGTCATAGCCAAGTAGCTTTGAAAAAAAAATTGCTGGAGTGTAAGCTCTCGCAATTCCTTGCCAGTAAAAGTGAAGCCAACCTTTGCCCGGCCAAGATGAGGGATAGATGCTCCTTTCTAGGAGTACTCACTTAGAGATCAATTGGCTTTGGTATGTAAGTGTAAATTCTAGGTTCCTTCTATATTAAAGGCAGCTAATACAACACAAACGAGTATGGGCGACTGACTCTCCAATGAACTTTGCCTCCAATTAGAGGCGCTTACCAAAGAAAACAAGTCCCACTAAAACGCGGTTCGAGCTCTATATGGGACTCGAAAAAGTTTTTGCATTGATATCGTTGGGCGTGCGAAAGAAATGCTCCGGTATTAGTAGCTAAACGGTGGTAGTTAATCATGCCCCTAGTAAGATAGCCGCCGCAGCTGCTATCTTGCCATAGGCATGGCTCCACTCCTGGGCAATAATTTCCACTCCAGAGATATGTTAAACCTCCTTGGTCGTAGTCAAGGAGGTTTAAAAAACTGCTAGAGTGGGAATTATATTCGTAATGTAAAGCCAGACCAGTGCCATCTTACTCCAGGCAAAATAAGACGTGTGTTTTGAGAAAAAGAAGCCACCTGTATTTTCCCACGGGGGGAACTCAACTAAATGCATCGCAGTGGGGTGCAGGTATCGCGTTAATATTGCGCAATTGTGCATGGTTTCGGAAATGCTTAATTGTTATTTCGTCTTGATCATTTTTATTTATCGATAGAAGGAGAAGCGTTGCCTTCAGCGAGCACTGGGATGCTGATGTTGAGTTGTGTTCTACTACTGGTTGAAGGCACTGTTGCTTACATCGCATCTACTAGTGTCGAGGAAAGCGTCGAGTCAAGCGAAAGTCAAGCGAAAGCAAAGTGAAGATGCCCTTGACTGAACACGGAACGTGCGATCCAGTGCCTACGTATACGGGGTGGTAAGTGAACAGTCGGTTTTTACTAGCAGACGCTGCCTACGTCAGCCTTGCGAGGCGAGAGGGAGGGGTGAGCCACAGTTGACCTAAGGCGCTTGAGCATTGTTATGCCTGCGAGTCCACAGCGAACGTCCATGCCTCTGAAAAAGGCAATCTGTGTCAAGGCCAGCCCGCGAACAACTCAACGGCGTCATCACGCGGTGGTGCCTCTCTGCCGCGCACGCACAGTGAGTCACCTCAGCCAGCGAGCCCGCCTAGCAAGCAATCGGCGCCTTCCTGTCTGGCGAGTCTGACGCAATGTGTGGCGACGTCACTCGTCCTTGGGTGCAGCCACGTGCAGCGCAGCGGCTCCGGATCAGATGAGAATGACGCGGCCCAGCGGTGACCCTATTGGAGGATTCTGACCTCACGACCAGCGGCGCTTCTGGTTGGACATTTGGTTACTCAAAGAATCCACCCGGTGCATATAAAAAAGCCCTGCGGCGCGTCTCGAGCAGCAGACCTATGTGTTAGAGAGGAGAGCTCGGCTCTTCGGGTCTCTGAGCTGTCTGCCCCAGTGCCGAATTTGTAACGCCTCTGTATATATGCTGTACATAAACCTTGTTTAACTCACCGTCGTCTCGTCCGCTCGTCTATCAGCTCTGCGCAGAAGCCGTCACGAGCTGAGAAACCTACGCTACCAAACGGTTGGTGACCTTCCCGGCGGAATTCGAAGCAGTGGCGCCTTCGGGACCGTGTTGGCGTCGCCGTCTTTCGAAACAGTGGTTGCAGCGGTGAGATTCGTGGCGCCCTTCGTAACGTCGTCGGAGGCGCGCTTCGCAACAGCATGTGGCACGAGACGCGAGCATGCGTAGTGGGGTGTCGACAACACAGCCGATGCCAGTTTTGCTCCCAGGTGCTATTATGAATTGCTCGGCATTTGAAAATGTTTAGCGATTCAGAGTACTTCGTACTCTGCCGTGGAAGAGCCGAAAGCCGTCCCGTCATCGTTTACTGGTGAAAGCACGTGTGGAAACAGTGGTTAACGATTAGAGTACTCCTATATGGGAGAGCATAAAGCCGTCTCGTGGGCCTCACATTTGATGAGGCGCGCTATGTGTGTTTAGAAAAGTTGTTAGCGATTCAGAGTAGTTAGTACTCTACTATGGAAGAACAAAAAGCCGTCCCGTGGGCCTCACATTTCATGCAGCTGTGTTAACAGAAGTGAGCATAGGGGCTGCTAAATTGGAACAACAGCGTTTGGCTCACACTCTGTACAACTTTATTAATGATAATTACCGCTAATAAATACTGCTCAACATGTGTCTTAGTGCTGCTGCTATCCTTAAAAAAGTCTTGAAGTGTTGACAGAGTATTAGTAGAGAACGAGCTACCTGTACTAATACTTATTTATTACTTTTGTCAGGAGCAGCGATCTCCTACTTTATGTTTCGGCTAGCATTCCCGTAAGCAGAACAAAGTCAGCTTATCTCGGACCCAGTACGACGTGATAAAGCCGTTTTGAGGGTAGGCTCCAGGCAAATTCTGGCATCACATCTACAGCGAAGACATAGGGAAAGCTTCCACTCCAGAACTTTCCTTAAACCTGATCAGTCGTTATCGCAGTTGACTTGTCTGTGTAACAAGGGTATTAGACTCGAAATAGTTATAAAGCGCAAAAAATGGGCACTAGAAAATTAAGTATTAGGAAAGAAAAGTTTATGGTCCCTACCGAAAACATCGCTTTTCTGTAATGTAATCTTTCATGAAAGCAGCCAGAATGTTTTATACCAGAAACCGGGGACACGAACATGTGTGTTTGCTAGAATTAGGCACCTGAGGTACACTGAAGGTGCTTGACGTCACCTGAATGCGCAATTATTATTGGATGAGGTAACCTCTGGTCCCCGACCCCATCATGGGTGTAGCCCTCGGTGGGTTCTCAAGAAGCTTCTTCCCAGGACGCAAATGAAGTTCATCTGTCTGTCTGTCTGTCTGTCTGTCTGTCTGTTAGTATGTATGTATGTATGTATGTATGTATGTATGTATGTGTATGTATGTATGTATGTATGTATGTATGTATGTATGTATGTATGTATGTATGTATGTATGTATGTATGTATGTATGTATGTATGTATGTATGTATGTATGTTTATTCAAGTTTGGTTTACGTGAGACAACGGCGGCTGTGGGCGAAGCTTAGAAGAAGCTTAAAAGTTGGTTGTAACCTGCTGTGCTTATTTGCATACTGTCTTTTTTTATTGAAAGTTTTCGTGAAATATGCAATCATGCTTGGCCGTTAAGAGAGCTGGCAGCCGTTGAGGCGCTTGTAGCCGCATTTTCGAAGTACCATGCGTTCTTAGTGAGGGACCTGTAGCCCAAAGTATCATGGCGTTCGTTTTTCGATTTGTAACGACGCGGATGCTAAGAAGCGTCTGAGATACTTACCCGAACTGCTGCTGGCATCGAAGCCTGAAACGGAAGGTGGCAGCAAAGAAACACACAATAAAAAAATCGCGGCTACATATATTTATCGTATCAGTGTTTACCTCGCACGACTGCTCTTTGAGGGATTTGACCGCAATGTAGTGAGACTGGGCCAGGTAAAAAGAATGTCTTGATCAGATGGGTGCATATTCCTCGGGTTCTCCAAGATAGTTCTCTTGTGCGTCTATTCTGCCATAGTGCGCACGGAGAAGGGAGCAGGAGTAGCGGGGTCGGGGTCTTTCAATTCCTTGAGAAGCATTTGAAAAGTCCCCCTCGTACACTTTGTCAAACGGACATGTCCATTCAGGTTTTCGACAAAAGTATCAGCTGAAGGCCGCTGATGTGATTCCGAGAATTGTACAAGCCAGATTTACTTCCGGAAAGACAAGGACCAAAGAGAGCCCATTGCGCATCGCTTTGTTTTAGTTTTTTTCATTCACTGTGATGTATGTTGTTTTTGAGATTGGACTAACGAGAAGGAGGAGGACGAGGCGCCGTGAACAAACTTTGTGTCCACTCCCCCTCCACTCCCAGCTGACGGGCCACTCCACAAACACCAATGAATACACCGCTTCCAGCGAGATTGTCACGCTGCAATGTGTGCCCGAGAGTCAGCTGTCGTGACTAATCTTAGAGACTGTGACAGCCAGTTAAAGGACGGAAATTCTGTCGAAAAGGTTACCTCTTTGCAGAACATCTCAAAAAGACGGAAACACGAGACGAAGGCGTACACCGGACCGGCGCTGGATCCTGTGTAAGCTGGGTCACGTGATCCAGTGCTTGTCCTGTACTCCATCTCGTGCCTTCGTGTCTTTTAAGCTGTTTCACAATAAAGTTAAATCAAATAGCCCAGTTTTTCACGCTAAAAGGTGGCCTTTCGGACTTCTCTCGAGCTTTCAGAAGAGGAAAAAGTCTGCCGGGCTCACACAAAGGCTGTGTCAGCGCTGCATCAGTCTTGATTTGAGCCCACCACACTGCTTCCCGTTTGCAAAGCTCCAGAGAAGTCGGAAAGGTCACCGTTTTGGCACCACGGTCTTCAAAGCACATGTACATGCGTTCGCAAAAGTTTGCTCAAAAGTTTAATAGCAAAGGTTGTGATAAAATGGATTATGGTATGCTTTACCTAACTTCGCAAATGAACGTACAGAAATTGTCACCAGTATAGGCCTGTTTAGGCTTAGTCGACAAGAAAAAGACGCGATTCTTTTCCTATAGAGAAGAAAAGAAGTATGCATACAATAACCATCAGAAATGCTTACCTGACTGAGACATTTGACTGAGAGCTGCAAAACGGAGAGTAATACTCATAAATAAGAAAACGTGGAAAAAATTAGCATCCTACGTGCCCATGTGAAATGCAAGTGCAACCGATAAAGTTTTAACATATCCCCATTAAAAACGCTCGTTCCTAGCTTCCTCAACACACATGCAAGCATCGCTGGCAAAAAAATGACAAACGTTTTTCCAAACGAATACGAACAGATCAGCGACACTTTATATATCGCGCAGGCTGTGATTGTTACCTTCTGTTTCACTGTGATTTCAGGGAGATAGAAACAATAATAAATAATAATATGTGAGGTTTTACGTCCCAAAACGACGACATGATTAAGCGAGACGCTGTAGTGGAGGGCTTGGTGTTCTTTCACGTGCACTGACATCGTACAGTGGGGCCTCCACCATTTCATCTTCATCGAAATGCGACCACTGCGGCCAGAATTGAACGCGCAGCCAAGCACCCCAGCTACGTCCGTGTCCGCCCAGGGGCGGAGAAAGTGAAAGTTCGTGAGTCCGTACCTCACGTGGTATCCACCACCACCACCACCACCATCACCATGGTTTAATGGTTATAATCAGGCCCAGGCCATAGCCAGAGGTGGTTCCCTAGGCACGTCCCCCCTCCCTCGAGATTTGAATGGAGGAGGGTGTTTTACCAAGGAAAAATAGATGTATTTCAAGACCTTGCCGAGTGCCCCCCCCCCCCCCCCCGAAAAATATTCCCGGCCACGGGACTGATTGTGGTGCTCGCCTGCTGACCCGCATGACCTGCAGATCACGGGAGCAAATCACGGCCATGGCGGCCGCACTTACGATTATGGAGAAAGTGCTCGAGGCCCACTCACTTAATATTTAAGAAAAGAATCCCAGGTGGACGAAATTCCCGGAGCCCTCCACTACGGCATCTGCCATAATGATATCGTGGTTCTGGGACGTGAAACCCTATAAAATTGCAACAAAAAGTGGCGTTGTGGTACCTGTGAGATCGGCCGACGTTTTACAAAACATCACGGCCATGGAGGAAGGATAAATATAGGAGAGGCCGTGACGTCATATTCGTGAAGCCGCGGCATCGCAAACACCGCACTACCTCTTAGCGGAGAAGCAGATAAACACTTCGCGATTTCCGGCGACCAGCCGCAGCTGCCTTGGAAGCGGTGTTCTCTGCCGGCAGCGAGTCAATCCACGAGTGCTGCTTCATTTGCGTGTTTTTTTAGAAAAGCTGTGCGATGCCCGACTGTAATGTATACTCTGTGCGAATCGCGTGCACCACCGGATGTACCTGGTGGCACTTTTCACATGTTCGCTTCACTGTTGATGGCATTTGCATGAGGAGATCTCAGCTGTACGCTCCGTCGGTTCTTACTAATGGTGTCAACTGAGAACACACGCGAACTTTCGTTTTTACTGTTGTAGGCATCGTGTCGCGTTTTCAGAAGTTGTTTCATTCATACGGAAGGACAATAAACTTGTCTTGTTACCGGACTATGTGTGTATGCATTGTACGGTGTGCACTCGCTGCGTGTTAGTTGTGTGCGCACTGAAAATACACACTTTAAATGCCCAATCACGTATACGATACAGCTGTGCCTTTTTACCGATGCGAAGTACGTCAAGTACTAGGCTGGCCTTGCACGGAATATCTACGAAGCAAGCTCTCGAAATTGTGCATTGCCACACTGACACTATATACGAGCAAAAACTGCTAATCGGCCCATAGAGCGGGAAATATGGCAAAGAAAAAAAAAAGGCATTACGGCGAGCAGAACGCTTAAGTCACTGCGGTGAGTTCGAATACGATGATGCAAAAGCTGAATGATTTTGTTTACACGTACCGGTGCTCTCTGCTGTTGCACAAAAACACTCCCCGAAGTAATTCAGCACGCCGCGCTTGAGCCTGTCACGCAGGAACAGTCTCGGAAAAGTGTCCTCGCAACATTTAACCGTACGCAAACCAGACAATACGTGTTAAGTTAACGCCGGGACTATATAAGCGAAACAGCGCTGAGAGCACGCCGCGGAGCGTCTGCTGTTTTGTTTGCCCCATAACAGTTTGTTTGCCCCATAAGTTTGACGTCACTTCCACCAGACTTTTCGGGATAGGATAGGGCCTCTCCTTAGTTTGTCCTTCCTCCATGATCATGCCATATGATGACGTCATGATGATGTCACAAATGTATGCAATTTGTGACGACGCGATTATGACGCCGCAAGGTTACCTAAAAAAAAACAGCTGATCCCTCATTTTTGGAGTCGGTAAAACAGGAAAGTGAAATGTGCCTTCACCGAGGTAGTTGAGCGTTTATTTTGCATTGTTTCACCACAAGGGCGAAGGAATCAATGCTACAGCAAAGAATTGTGATTTCATGCAAAGAACAGCAGGCACCTCGAAAGATACAGCGCGCACCTCATGCAGAAAGCGCACATGAAATGAGCATACACAGCACGAGCGCGGACAAACAACTTTCTCAGCTCGACACTAAAAGCACGCTGCTCTAACAGAAGGAAAAAGGAACGAAACGTACCCACAAATCTACACAGGACGAGTGCGAAAAACTGTCATAATTCTTAATTCAGTGTGTGAGCAGCGTGCTCCTTTCATAAATGCGGCCGCGGCAGAGAGCGAAGTTACCTTCGTGCTCTCCAGAATCATGAGTCTGATCTAATAAGTGCGAGCGCAGTCTGGGGGACCATGCCCTGTGGAAGCGCCCGCTCAAGGAAACGCGAGATGCGCCCAACGCTCTACACAACAGTAAAGCCCCTATATAGGGGCTTTACACAACAGGGGGCCGTTGCGCCATCTCGCTACTGATGAGAAAAACGCGGTGAAGTTGAGAAGCTCTGAGGACTCCCAACTGTATATGATTTGTATAAATGGCTTGCTGTTAGTAAGCTTGATACCGTGCATTTTGTGGCATAGTGGCTTGTGTAGTGCACTCCAATGTGAGTTGTTGCTCTTTGAAGCCCCACTACAGAACTCTTCTCGTTTTTTAATGCGAAGCATTTCTTAGCGAACTTCGGTGACTTTGAGCGTATCTATCTATCTATCTATCTATCTATCTATCTATCTATCTATCTATCTATCTATCTATCTATCTATCTATCTATCTATCTATCTATCTATCTATCTATCTATCTATCTATCTATCTATCTATCTATCTGTCTGTCTGTCTGTCTGTCTGTCTGTCTGTCTGTCTGTCTGTCTATCATTGTCTGTCTGTCTGTCTGTCTGACTGTCTTTGTCCGTCTGTCTGTCTGTGTGTCTATCTATCTATCTATCTATCTATCTATCTATCTATCTATCTATCTATCTATCTATCTATCTATCTATCTATCTATCTATCTATCTATCTATCTATCTATCTATCTATCTATCTATCTATCTATTTAGCCGCCTACGACTTTAGCTCTCCTGGCCGTTTGAATAATGGTATCGATACCAAACTTGGTATCGAATAATATGACTATATGACGAGCATATTTGACAAGTCATAACATCAAAATCATGACATACATGTCATGAATGTCATGATTTACATTTCAAGGTCTTGCTGCTCTTGCGGTGGTTTCGTTCACACGACTGTTGCAAAACTGGAATAGTATGACATGATTGTATGGATAACTCAAGCGACACACCCTAACATGAAAATCATGACATGCGTGTCAAGTAACAACATCACTACATGCCATGCTCATGATCCACTCG